GGTAACTTATACTTTCAAACTTTTTTTTTTTCACTTTCTTTATATATGTTTAAAAATATATTAATATCTTTTCTAGGCTTAAAGGATTGACCTTTTGGGTGGCTAACATATTCTCCGATTCGTTATATCTTAGTTCACCTTTTGGGTGGCTGATAAAATCCGATCGATTATGAAAACATTGATAAAATCGGTTTTTGGGTGGCTAATAAAATACCGAAAGGTGAACTAAGTTATAACGAATCGGAGAATATGGTTGAAGAAAAGCCACCAAACTACAATGAATCAACAATTTTGAATCTCAAGCTTCTCAAGTTTAGTATTTTATGTTATTCTATCAATATTATTGTTATTCTTCTATTTGAGTTTAAGTTTTGTTAAACTTAAATTTCTATTTGATATTGAAGATGAGGCTGCATGGAGTTGCGGTAGAAGACATTGACATAGATCCTTTAGATGAAGATTAGAATGTCATGAAGTTTGGATTTTTTAACATTTTATGGTATTTTGATGTTGATGCGGTGAACTTTGTTTTTTTTTTAAAACTAAAGTTAAGCTGTGGTGAATTATTTTCATGGTAATGGTGAAGACTTATGTTTATTGATATTTTTGTTGTGTAGTTTATTTTTGTATTTTTTTGAATATTTTATAATTTTAAATACAATAATGATGTAATAACGCCTTCATCCGGTTTTCAAAACCTTGGTTTCATCAAGTGGTAGTAAAAGATAGAAGTGAAAACATTAATACAAGCCAGTGGACTTGAAAAGTACTATTTTACTTATGTTTATGGGAAGCAGTTAAGATAAACAATTAGTCTTTTTTTTTAGATTTTTTTTTTTAAATGTTATGTTGTGTCACAGCTTTTGTAACTACAAAGCTTATGATACATCTGGGCAGAACTTTGGTATATCTTCACATGATACCTCTTTGGACAACTTTTGATATATGCAAATGACGTTTTTCTTGTTTCATATATGTCCATTAAACAACATTACAGAAAATGATTATTGTTATTTTGCAAAAATAAATTAGAAACTTTCAATAAACAATGTTTCAATAAAAAGGTCCATAAGCAAAATGCTATACATGTGATTCATATATCTCCATTAAACTAGCTTAAACATACCTAGTAACACAACCAGTACACATTTGTGAGTTAACACCCAGTTCTTGTCCAACACCCAAAGCTTCCTCCTAATCCATCTTCAACTTGTAATTGTTCATCTCATTTTCCAATGCAACTACTTTCAGTGCAAAACTACAAGCTTTTTATCATTGTTTTTCTTTGACTTTACCTTGTTATTTGATCAACTAGTGTGCCATGATACCATTCCTTCTGAATATGTGGATCCACCCATTCAAAGAAATAATATTTGTTTTTCATTGGATTCTTTAAAAACCGAAACAAAAGGGTTAAAGGAGGAAGAGTAAAAGGAAGAAAACTTCGCTTGATTTTCCTTACCAAAGAGTTAGAACACTGAACACACCCTAATCTTTTTCCATGGTTATCTTCGGTTCATGATATCCTGATTCAAGAAGGTGAGCCATAATCACAAGAACAATTTGATTGTACCTTTGTATTTGACTTGGAAAAGTCAGAGGAAGCAGACATTGTTCAATTTGGTTAGATCGTTCAGTTTTAAAGGAATAATTGAGCAGGTTAGAGGGGAAAGACATTGTATATAAGTTATCAATTTGGTACGTGGTCCTTCATAAGCTATGTAGAAGCTAAATAAGCATTAATAAAAATGGTAGGTTGCGAACCACAAATACGAATTTAATGATAAATTGTATACAAAAAAAATGACTAAATATATACAGTGGATATAGTTCCTAACGTCATCAAAGCATTATCTATTGTTTTTAAAGCTTAGGAAGCTGGTATATCAATGTAAAATCACTAAAATGTAACATGGCAATAAGGAGAAAAAGGAAATATAACTTCACAAACTTATTTAGAATTTAGGTGCTAGAAGAAAACTTATTCCTCTTTATTGTATTTACTGTATATGCTTTGGAAAGATTGTCAAAAAAAGAAGGGTTAAGGACTTGATATGTTAAGAAATTATGTTCCTATGGTATATATTTGGTCATTTTCTTTTTGTACATGGTTTCCCTTTGAAGTAGCTTGAAACACCATTTTGACCGGGGATAGTAGGTGTGGTCGATTTCCGATGACTCATCTGATAGGTTAATTATTGGATAGGGTGTCGAACTATGCTCTGTGTACCTATTTGGTCTTTTTTTTTCTACACAATTTGCCATATGTTTTGTTTAAGATACAGTTAAAATGACATGTTCTGTAAAAAAAATCATTAAAATGACATGTTCTGTTAAAAAAACATCAAACTTTTTTATACATGACTTATTTAGCCATAAAAGACAATCAATGATGTAAACACAAAAGAAAGTGAACGACATGAAACGGGAAAAAATGATAAACATGTTATTCTTTTCTAAACCATATATTATTATTATTGACACTCTGATTGTTGTTGATCGACCAAATGTTTTTCCTTAATTTGATTCAGCTCATTGTTCTGTTTTGCAGTATCTTATTGTTCAAGTCGTCGAAAAACCATAAATTAAATCATGATTTCAACTTCAAACGTAATGAACTTTTTGATACATTCGTCAAGTTTTTTGTGTTTTAGCTTCAAAATTGCTCTACAAAATACCTTTTCTTTTGAGCTTGATGTAATTATTAAAATTTTAGTAGTTGGATACTGTCATGTAGCTTTAAGAGGTATCTGGCACTTACAAGTCAAAATGACTTAATTTTCAGGATGAATGTAGTAAATGGCTAGTATGAACGTTTTTTTCAATCTTAATCACTATTATCTAGTACATACTCAAGTGACCAATCGTGAAAAGGTAAACATGATACATAGTGCATATAAACAAATCATATACTCAAAAAACATTATTTTTCCCACAAAATAGGATCAATCAAGTCGCATGTGTTTTATAGAAAGTGAGAATAAATTGTTGCATATATCATGTTTAAGTTCACTCATCATCTTTCATTTATGCATAATTATAGATAGTGCATATATATGAACAGCAAACTGAAAGCGTGATAGTGATACGTGATTTATACATCAAAACCAATAACCAAAAAGAAAAAAAAAAAAAAAAGCATCTATGAGAGCTCACGACAAACCCTAGAAATAAGAGTTTCAACATTTGAAACCCCTACAAGCCATGAGCCAGACTATGATGATAAAAACTGCAATGGCTCCTCCAACCATAAGCTTCATCTGAAGATTCTGCAACCACATCTTCCTTCTTAGTTGCCTTCCCTGCCTTTGAAAGCTATCTGCCTGTATTTAACACCAGTTTCACAACAATTATAAACCTCCAAGAACTCCCTTTTATTACTTCACCCCAAATAAAAAATACAATTTTTAAAAGAAACGTAAAAGTTATACCTGGAATTGAAGGTTTTCTGTTTTATCCACTAGTAATTCGATCTTCTCACCACGATCCAAAACCTTTATTACAAACACAAATGTTGATTCAGTTGCACTAAATGCATTTGTGTTTAGTTATACAAATCAATTGAGAAAAAAAAGAAGAAAGATGTTTACAGTTTACCTTCTCAATGTTGTCCATCATAATCCCTTTAACCTCTGTAATCTGAGCCTTCAGTTTAGACAGCTTACTCATTTCATCTGGATGGTTTAAACAATACTCCATGTGTTCCTTTATCTTTGGCCTATTAATCACAGCAAAGAATAATTATGATAAAAGAAAACTATTACAAAAACTCCAAGAATAGTATGAGATCAACATACCCAAACTCCCTATCAAGATTATAAGCAATACTAAACCGATCTTCAAATAGATCATCATCACTGTCGTCAGCAAGAGGGTGATCATTTCCAATACTTGCTCCATAACGTTTCGTGAAGTCATCTTTCACTCTCTCCAGAAACACAAATGGCACACTCCTCCCTGCTGATTCATCAGCAACAACAAGAAAAACTGCATCGAATGGATGACAAAAATCACCCATGTTATGATTTATGAACGCTAAATTGACAGAAACAGTAGTACAAAATAATTTTAGCAAATGTTTATAAGTCTGCACATACCGAAGCCACTATCAAGCAAGAAGTTGAAGGTGTAGCCGTCGCATGAATATGTGTATTTACTGCTACCCGAAGGCAACTTCTGTAAGCACTGAACAGCAACCGTGCTGACGTTTCCTGAGTAGGCCGTGTGTTCAGCCAATACAACGGTCCCTTTCGCAACAAAGCTATAAATCAATCCTTTTTGACTCATCTTTGGATTCCTATAACTTTAAATCAATCGTTTCTCACCAAATTCGCCCTACGAGGGGGTTAATCCTGAAAATAGAATATAAAAGCCTTAAATTTCTCAAACAACTTTATGCAGAGATAAAAAAAAACAGAGGAACGCAAAGCCCATCTCAAGTCGCTTCTGCATTTTACGATTAATCGGTGATGGATTGATCGTGATCAGATGATCTACAAGATAAATACATAAGAAACACCACTAAGGATATCTCAATTAACCCTCGCTGAAACTTACCTCACAGAAATCACGAGAGATATAATTAAACCCTAAGATGAGGAATTTGCGGATGAACTCTTACGATCGATGAATTCCAAGTCTAAGAGGCAATGAATCAATCGATCTAGCTAATCGTAGCAAATAAATTAAGGAAACAGATGATGATTGAACTTGTATGCCAGAATTTTTTTCATAAATTGCCGAAATCTGCGAAATAGATAGAGCGAAGGGGGAAACCTGAAAAAGGAATTGGGGTTTGATCTTTTCGTGGGGATTTCGTTTTGCTTCGTGGGCACGAGTAAACGAAAGAGTAGGCGGAGAATTCCAGTGAAAAAGTGTTTTTAACGCGACCGGTAGATTTACAGCTTTGAACCACAAATAATTATGGTATTGTCAGTTTAAGCATGCAACTACTAAATATATACAAGTTGCCCCCTAAAACTTTATTATTTGAATTTTAAATGTTGTTTTCCTTCGATGAACCACAGAACAAGACTATTGCCCAAACATCTTACTTATTTCCGTGTACAAGGATTAAGGACAACCTTCATTCGGAATTGGGACTAATATTCGACTTCATTCATCAAACGATAACTATTGATTAGAGGTGCACAAACTCGATTTGGATTTTTCCCTATCCGATAATATATTGGAATTGGATATTTCAAAAATCGGTATGAAGTTATCCGAATCGGATATATCCAACCCGTTTGATAAGCATCGGAATTTGGAACCACCAAAAACCTAAAATAAGATATTTTACTTTTACCAGAATTTTCGGATATAGTCAACTAGTCGTTGAGCTCAAAAATAAACATGAATATACAGTTGTTTGGACCCCCAAAATTGCCAATTTGCCCTCTTGTGTTACTAAAAATTTGTGTTGGTTTATTTGGTTTTAACATACTGTAAAAAAAACGCTCATTATTCTCACCTTTTTGGCAGTCTCAAACATCTTTCAAAACTAAAAAACGGCAATTCCACAAACTTTTGCTTCCGTTTTCGTCTCAGTTGCTACTCGCTAGAGTAAGTCCAATTTTGTCATTGTATTCCTTTTTTGTTAATACGCAGCTAGTTTTGTTTTAATATCAAGTCTCCCGTTCCAAAAAAATAATATGGGCCATTTAGTGTACAAACTATATTTCATGAAGATAAGTATTTGGCGACTAAAAATAGTTACACTTTTAATTTTTAGATTTATTTTGATGTATTTTATATATTTTTTTTAAGTTTTAAAATCATATATAATATAATTATTTATTTGGTTGGAGAATAAATCAAATTTTAAAAAATTGGATAAAACGGGTTTATCCAGATTAGGATATTTAAAAATCCGATTATGTCCTATTTGAATCCTATTACACTGAATATCTATTTCACAACAAAAAAAATCCGGTTTTTATTTCAGATATTCGAAAAGAAAATATACGATCCAAATTAAAAAAAAAAATGAATTCGGATAAATCTGGCTTTTGTGCGCCTCTAATATTAATTGTTGAATAATTTTCTAAATATATTATGTAATGTTAAAAAACAAAATGAGTGGAGTAGTTATATACAATTTAACTAAACTAAATATGGTTAATTACATAAAATAGGTATCATTATTTTAGAGAAAAAGACAAATCTAGCAAAACTTCTTAATTATTTTTAAAGATTAGCCAAAAATTTAAGAAAAATCTCATAGTCATCAAAATCATAAGTAAGCTTTCACAAACTCGTCAAAAATATGTAATTATATCCCAAGCTTTATACCTATAAAAACTTACAAAAGCCACAAGACGACACTCATACAAACACTAACATTCTTACTTACTACATTTTTCGATTCTAGCTTAAATTCCAAAAAGTATTTTTGGAATCACCCTTGAAGATACGCTTAATTCAACACATAAAGCCGAACAAAGTGGATGGGTGAGGGAATGATGAGTGGAAGCAGAATCACACCCAGGAACACCATACCATGGGTGCGGTTTAGGCCATGTGTGGTATCTTCCCCGCGTTGTCTCTCCTTTCTAGATTGGACAACAACTTAAAGTTTTTATTTATTTATTTATTTATTAAATTATATATATTTAAAAATTATAAAAAATATATTAAAATTCATTGTTTTTAATTCCATAAAGTATAATATTTATATAAAATATATTTAAAAATAAAAATAAAAAATAAAAGGTAATGAAAAACAATTATTTTTTGATTTTTGGTGAGTGAGTGGAAAGCTAAGATTACACATAAAAAATAAATGGTACAGCCTTTGGTCCACAAGATCACTTCAAGAGGGACGACGGAACATCAATATCACCGATACATATATATTGTTTTAAAGAATATTCATCACTACTATCCTTTTAATTACGAGGACAAATAAGAATGATACTCCAATTTATATATAATAAAAGCTTAAAAAGTTGGGTAGCAGTTTATTCTCTTTCTTCTTTCTTAATCAGACACTGGACTTTTCCTTTTTGTTTTTGGGACACCGATCTTTCATTCTGCTTCTTTTAGTTTCCCTTCTGTTGAAAGCGCCCCAATACTCTCTTTTTTCCTTTCCTTCTTATCCCTTTTCGTCGCCCCCTTGCCGCCCTCCTCCTCCAATACAATTTCGTTCACTTTTCCTTATTTCCTCCTTCTTCCTTTTTTACTTTTCGTTGTTGTTCTGTTCACTTCTGCCTCTCCCCGACCGCCATCAAAGGACCAGTGCACCACCACTCTTTCGTTCCCCTCACACTACATCGACAACAATAGAAACTTAGCAAGGTGCCGATGTTGGCGAAGGCGATCGGTGGAAGTGGTCAGGTATCTCACCCCTAATTTTGGATTTGAAGTAGCTTAGAGTTTGATTTTATTGTAGCTTCGCTGATGAGGGTTTCTCACCAGGACCGCCATCGATGAAAAAAATCCACAACAAGCGGCATTCAATACTCACTCGATTGGTCCTGCAAGAAGCAATTCTTTCTGTGTCTGTCTCGGTTTGAACCAACGACGTAGACGTTGTATCCGATTTTCTACTTCATCACTGCTCAGCCACATCAAAGAAAGGTAATTTCATTTTTACTTTTTTGTGTTTTTAATCAGATTTTTGTGGACCTACTGCCTGTTGTGTTGTACCCTTAGACAACTTTTGTTCGCATCTGTTAGATTTTATTTGATCTTTTCTTTTGTTGAGCATAACAGATGTGCAATCAAAGCGAATCACCATTCCACTTTACTTCTTCATGCCTGTAGGTAATTGGAACGTTCTATCTGCTTGGTTTTTCTTTCACTTTCGTTTTTAGTTCTTCTTTCTTTCAATCACCATCATCACTCATAGTTGTTATAGACAAGGAGCTCCGCCTTTCTCTTTCTTAGTGAAATCAGATGAATTATTGTGGAAACACCCATACATCCACATCCCATCTGGTAAGTTCTCTTACCATTATTTTCTTTCTCCTATACTCTGGATGTACAAATTCAACTTTCATATCGTATATCTTACTATTCTAACATAAGACAGTTCCAACCAACCATATGGGTTTCATGTTCAATACGGTTTTGGGCATGTAATAACAGAAAAAAAACCCTCCCCCAATTGTAATATTTCTAGGTTCAACAGATAGATTACAAATGTCAATATAATAGTAAAACCTGAAAGTATACAATGAAACTATATTTAGTGTTTTAGATCGCATACCTGTATATTACTCTTGTCTTTTGTTTGTATTTTGCAGCCACATAAAGAAGAATTTTTTTGTTTAAAATGACTTCAAAAGGTAAATTGTTTACTAAGTTTTCATAAGAATTCTTAATTTTTTTAGGTTTATCTGGTGTAACAGAGTTACGCACACAAACTATTTGTAGAAATGCCACACAATTTCTCTGTGTTTATAGATGCATGGTTGGAGTAATTCTTTCCTGGGCATTGTTCAGGTAATATTCTTGCCTCTTTTGCCCTTAGATGATAACGTTGACTTTTGTACATAGAATTATTGATGATATTGGAACTTGCTCTTCTTATCAGCTTTGCTCGCCACATGTTCGATGAAATGCCTTTGAGGCATTCATAACGATTGTAAGCAACTCATGACCGTCCTGCCTCTGGAATTGGTATATTTTCAATTTTTTGTATTCATTTTATAGGGTTTAGACTCCAATTAACCATTCAGAACAAACGAGCAATCAATTTGCATTGCAGGTTCCGATTGGTTTATTGATCACTAATTCGATTTTTGATTTTTCAATTTCTCATAGTTGTGTGCTTATTGTTGTGTTCAGGTTCTGTTGGATAAATAAGATATTGCTGGAAAGGGAGCATGTGTGAAGGTAGGAATCAAGTTGAGTTAAGGGTGTTTTGAAGTAAACTGATGTTTTGTTTTTCTGTCCGTACAATTTTGTGTGAACAGAATTCACTATCTTGGAGAGTACAAAGGACAACTGCTTAGGAGCTTCTCAAAGGTACTGCCTGAAATTTCAAAGGTAAATGAAGGCGCATATACTTGCTCATGGTGGATTGTTAGGGTTTTCCAAAATTTCGGATGGCATCTCAACAACTAAAAGCCTGTGTAGCCTCTTTATACTGAAACCGGTCATCATCCTCTTCAAACAGCTGATAATCCCGAAGCTTCTGAGATTATAAGAAAGATTGAATCTTATAACCGAATCTTTGGTTCACATTCAACAGGACTAAGCCAGGTAACTAGTGATTATAATTTCCACCAAAAAGATAAGAAAGAAACTAATCATATTTCTTCAAGATCCGTATTCAAAGTCTTTTTTTTTATATATTTTTTTATGGACTTCTTTGATCAGGTGGCATTGCAAACATGGTGATCTCACAAATGCCCTTGTATTGTTCAACGAGATGCAAACACAAGGGCTGTATCCTGATCCAAGTATCTTCATTATCATTATTACTCGCTTAGGAAAACAGGGGAAGTGGGATATAATAAAGAAAAACTTTGAGCAAATGAAAGATGGAGGTCATGGACAAATGAAATACAATCTTTTTTGGTTATTTCGACCTTATACACCATATTTATAAGTAATTTTCTCAACAAGGTGGTCCTGATGACTCGACATTTCCTGTAGTCAAGCACCAAGCTCAATTCTCTGTTGCACATGCATGTTCTAGCAATGTACATAACTAACTTTTTTTGATATTATAACAATATATTTTGTATATTTTTACATAAAACAATTATGTGTTTATCTGGACCCTGCTATACATGTTATCACTAATACTTAACTGGTTTTGAAAAAAAAAATACATAAACCAAACTAATAACTTTTTTCTACCTGTACCTTTGTCAGCAGCCGGAAACCTCCTCCCCTGTCATATATACTTCTGCCTGTTGAGGGCAGAAGTCACCATTCTTGAAGATTAGAGGTCAGGGATGTTGAGGTGGATAAAGGAGCCACCATGACAAAAAGATCAAAAATACACAAGATGAAGTGAATAATAACAGGCCAAAAGAGAGTAATAATGACTTACCTGTGACGTGGAATACCACCGAAGGAGGTATGAAATTGTCAAAGTATCTCTCTTTCGCTCTCTCTCTCTCTCTCTCTCTCTCTCCTCACACACACACTAATTACAGGAATCATGGTATTGTTTTTGTGGTGATTTTTAGGCTTCAGGAAGAGGAAGTAAGGATTATTGCTTGTGAGAATTTACAGAATGCAACAACAGAGGCATCCATTCACAAACTTGAGGTTTGTGAATGAAATTTTAATTTTTTTATTATGAATGATTCTTTTTGTTTATGGTAGTATTAAAAATGAGTGATTTCTTTATAAAATGATATAGCAGGGGAGGATAAAAGGCATGGCCTTCGAAGGGTACTTTTCAAATTCACATTTTCCTTCTTGGGTTTTGTGTTATTTATATGTTATTGTGTTAAGGGTATAATCGCCTTTTCCATATTTCATGTTGATCAGGCTTTAGGGCAGACATCAGATTGGTTTAGTAGAAGTAAATATAATATTATCTATTAAAAATAGCTTTAATTATTTTGGTAGAGTTAAAACTAATATAAGAATATATATGTGTTTTGTTTTTATAGACTTGCATCAAGATTTTAATGAATATGGGACGAAAGAACGTCGAATTGGTGGGCATCATGCATCTAATACAACACGACACCTGTAAGTTGAATTTTGCACTTATCATTCTTTTCACCTGTTTAATGTTTATTTGGTGTTTTTTTGATATATCAATGTACTTTCATGTGAGTTTTCAATTTCATCTTTAGTGTAATTACTCTTATCTCTATCTCTATTACCTTTTCTAAAATACATATCTCAAATTATTTTTTAAAATCATTTTGTTGCTATCAGATATATCACATTTTAGTACCTCCACCAGTTGACCCTGATGACAGTTGCTACAGTCGGTACAGATGCCAGCCGAGCATTCAAAACTATGCTCCCAAACATATTCAAGTACTACAAGGTATTAGATATATGATATTCCATCCCTGCATGTAATGCGCTCCTATGTTTACTGCATCTTTCCAGAAACCATCTTTTGCTAATGTAGTGGTCTGATGCGATCATCTTTTGCTAATCTACTCCTTACTATGTAACTGATATCAACATCCGTTCCATATATGTAATATCCTTTCATAAATATTATAATATGGTTGCTTGTCTACTACAGTTTCAAATAATGAAGGAAAACAAGGTACACAGCGCCAACGGCGCATCTAATTACATCTAGTTTTAAAAAAATTATAAAAATACCCATAGTTGGTCATAAAGTTATAGAAATTGTCCTCATGATAAACCAAGATTTACAAAAATGGCCCCTCTATGAATTAGTTACAGAAATAGCCCCTATAAGCTTTACAAAATTACAAAAATGACCCTAGGAAGAAATTGAAAATTATAAAATGATCCATGTAAAAAAATAATTACAAAAGTAGTCTCTATTGATTTTAAAAAAATAATCTTTATATAATAGAGCGACTGTGTAATGTTGGTCCATACATGATACTACATTTCACAAAAAAATAAAAAGAGGCCTTTGATATTAACATAAAAGGTCCTCATATAATTTCGAGCACTACAGAAATAGTCATTGTGTAATATCAAAATTATATAAATGGTCCTAGTGTAATGCTGAAATTACAAAAACGGTTTATATGTTAGACAAAGTTACACTCATAGAGCCTGTATAATAATAAAAGGAAAATTATAAAAAATAATACGTTACATCAATTACATCAAAAATCTATAAAATTAATAAACGTACGGTAACTTTCAAATATCCCAACTAATTTAAATTAAAAGCAACTAAAAAACGTTTATCTTATGTTAAGAAAATTAAATATGATATATGTATATGTATTTTAGAATAAAACTAAAACCAAAATTATTGCGTTTCGCTTTTCTTTTCTAAGAATTTATTCATATGACGACATTGTACCAAATATTTTCTTTTAGTGGGACCGGCCTTTTGCTAGTAGCTTTTGGAAATCAACCAAGTAGAGGGTACAGTAAGAATTACACTAAAAGACCGAGGAAATGTACGTAATTTCCACCAACAGTTAACAAAGAAATACATTAGATATACAGAGGAGGGGCAAAAGTCTTCACTCCCTTTTGGCTTTCTTTTTCGTCGTCAGCACTGATGTTGCTTCAATAATCCGGGAATCTTTCGAAGAAAAGCCAACACTCCACCCCTCAGAATTTTTGTACACGTACCCTAATTTCTAAAATCCAGGTATTTTTTTATTATTTAATTTAATGTTGATCGAATTTGACAATCGGAATCGGTGGTGTCATATTTCCCATATATCCGTTGGTAGTCTTGACATTTTCATAGAGAATTATCAGCAAAAAATCTAAGAAAAACGAAAAAACAGAAAAAATGGTGTCGGCAAACAAGGAAATGGTGGTGTATTGCTTCGATACGCTGGTGGCTCACTTCAACGGCGAACAAATTCCCCCTCCTGCTTTCGATGAGGGTCAACAGTAATCTTCTCCATCTCTCTTTAAAGTTTTGATCTTTCATGGTCATTTTCTATCTACTTGCATAGATTCCTTCACTAATTCACTGTTTTATGTCTTTGTTTTGTGGACTGTGGTTTCTTTTTGGATTTTGTGATGATTCTATATATGTATGACAATTATGGTGTTATTGGCAATTTGTATACATCTCTTATCCACTGTTCTCAATGTATATTTGACTTATTGGAATGCCCTCCATGTGTTTGTGGGTTAATTGTTAAACCCTTATATTTGATCTTTTTGGGAACTTCAAGTACGCATCTTTCAGTCTCCCTCCCCAAAAGGTGCATCGGAGTTAAAAAAGAAATTCAGGAATCCATAAGTGAGTCTCAGGGTCAAGCCTGGGAATTCGTAAAAGAAATTTCAGTTTACATGTGATTGGATGTGATTTATGTACATATTATACAACTATCTTCATCATAGATCATCTAAGAATTGGCATTCACATATATATATTCTATTAAAATTGAAATAATTTGATTATGGCCTATGGGACATGCCATTGTGATTTCAGCCCATTGTTTGTGACTTGGAAGAAAGCTGTGAATGGTGGGGAACCTCGCCTACGTGGATGCATAGGAACTCTGGAAGCTCGCTGCATAATAAATGGCTTCAAGGATTATTCACTAACCAGGTAGCTTCTCAAGTCTCAACAATCTTGTACTCTTTTTACAAATTTGCCCTCAATTATACTTTTTTAAACATCATTTCAGTGCTCTGAGGGATCGGCGATTTCCACCAATACAGTCTAAAGAATTACCATTCTTGCAATGTACAGTTTCCATTCTTACTAATTATGAAAATGCTGCTAAGTATCTCGATTGGGAGGTATGTTTAATGTTTCTGCACATTAAAAAAAAAAAAAAAAAAAGTCTATTCGAGTTTCTTTGCAACATTTTCATTCATCAACTCTTGTTGTAGGTTGGAAAGCATGGAATTATTATAGAATTCACTGACCCTGATTATAGTACAAGGCGAAGTGCTACATACCTACCTGACGTGGCTGCTCAAGAAGGTTTTAACTCTTAAGTTGATACTACTGATGTTATTGGGCTAGTATGTAACTTTGGGCTTTACATTATGATTTGTGTATTTTGGGTTTTTTAGGTTGGACAAAGATAGAAGCGATTGATTCACTGATGCGTAAAGCTGGTTATAATGGCACCATAACTGAGTCTGTGAGGAAACGTATCCAGTTGACTCGTTACCAAAGCACGTTATTTACAATGCATTATGGGGAGTATGTGAGCTATGTGAAGACAACTCGAGGTGTTGCCCTTTCTGTTGCTGGTCTTAAATCCCGTTGACCTATTTCATACTAATATTAATTAATTGGAATCACATCAATATAATGTGTAGTTTGGTTCCAGGGTAATTTAGGAAAAGAAGATGGTAGGGTATGGGCGGGTAGGACCCGACTCATCCATGTACCGGGTGGTTGTTGTTGCCTTGTTACTAAGTTATTTTATAAAATATGGTCGACTTGTATCTCAAGTTGACTGATGGAAAAAAGTTGGGATTTAATGTTTGTGACGTGGAAATATTGCAAGTTTGTTTAAATTTTTAGGTATATGATTTGTGTGATAGCTTGTTTTAAGGTTGACTTTTGACTTTTGAGGTCCAAGTTTTTGTATTTGGGTATTGTTCTTGTACCTGGCAAAAAAAAAACGAATTTTGTTCATATGTATGGTAGTTTGAAATAATATTTACTATATTGTACGTTTGATAATATTTACCAAAACATTGCAAAATCAGTTTTGAATGTGGGCATCATCTCTTTTATAAAAATAAAAATAAAAAGAGAAATTAAATATCCTCTTACTTTTCTTCCTAATTATCTCCCTACCTAATGGAAATGATGACAACTGTCCAAAAATATAATTAATTGACAAAACTTCAAAAATGGTCCCAAGGGTTTTCGAAAATATCAAGTTTAATCCCTAAGTTCAAAAAATCTCACAGATGGTCCCTGTGGTTTCAAAACTTTTAACATTTGGTCATTCCGGCTCATTTCGTTACCATTTAGCCGTTAAGTAAGAGGTATTTTTATCATTTCACTACCCAAGGACCATTTATGAGGTTTTGTATTACTTTTTTTAAAATAAATAAATAAATAAATAAATAAATAAATAAAATTTAATATGCAAGGGGTCCCACCTCTCTCTCTCTCTCTCTCTCTCTTTCTCTCTCTCTCCACCGCCTGCTTCCTTTCATCTTCATCAGATGGATCTCAAAAACTCAAAATCAAACGGGAATATGTGGCAAAACAAGTTCGTTCATCCCTAAACTATACAGTGAACACAAGAACCCACCCCCAATTTCAACCAGATTCGTTACCTATCGTGATTTGCAGGTTTGAGATTAAACAAAAATCGAGACCCATCGTTGGGTCTCTTTGGTTAACTGATCGCGATTTCAGGATGCACAAGAAGGAATCGGACCCTTTGCTGGGTCCTCTTTGGTCTCAGTTGAAATCAACAAGTCTCGACAATGTGATTCAAGATGGCAGAGGTGGCGATGGCTTACCAGCAGCAGCAGAACAACGGTGGCGGTATGTAGCCGGGGGCTGCTCCGGTAGCCTTCTGCTGCTCTATTTCTGTTTCTGTTCCAGCGAGTTCCACAAGAAGGGATAGGGAGAAGCAACGACAGGTGGCTGGAGGTTGTGTGGGTGGTTTATTGAAAGAAGAACATCGGTGGCGGTTTTGTGGCAGTGGGTGGCAGCCCTACTGTTGGCTTTTCTTGCTTCTAGTGGTTCACAACACGGAAGGAAAAGGGAAAGCAGTAACAGGTTTTCAAGGGTGTTTGTCAACTTGCTTGATAGAAAAGGAATCGAAGGAGGAGAGTGTGGTGGTTTATGGCAGTGGGGCTTGGTCGACCAAAACGGTGGTGGCAGCAGGTGGTGTGTGGGCAGTGGGAAGTGGTAGAGTGTGACCGGAGAGGAGGCCAGAAATTGGTATCTCCGGTGGTTGTTTCTTCCACCGGTGAATCAGAGAGAGAGAGAGAGAGAGAGAGAGAGAGAGAGAGAGAGAGGTGGGACCCCTTGCATATTAAATTTTATTTATTTATTTTAAAAAAAGTAATACAAAACCTAATAAATGGTCCCTGGGTAGTGAAATGACAAAAATACCCCTTTCTTAACGGCTAAATTGTAACGGAGTGAGCCGGAAGGACCAAATGTTAAAAGTTTTGAAACCACAGGGACCATCTGTGAGGTTTTTTGCACTTAGGGATTAAACTTGATATTTTCGAAAACCACAGGGACCATTTTTGAAGTTTTGTCTAATTAATTTTATCAAAATATGACACATGTCATCATTTCATATTGATAGGAAAATATGTAGGAAGAAAAGATAGGATGATATTTAATTCTCAAATAAAAATATATAGTTTATTAATAGTTTGCTTCCCGGTAATTACATCCAACAGGACACCTACTCGTCGGAACTGAAACCTACGAAAACTTTCTAGCCGGAATTTGAAACCAGAACTTTGTAGCAGGAAATAGAAACAACAACTGAAATATTTGTAAAAACATTGAGATGGATTACCTCTAATATTTACTTTGCTCACCGGAAAACAGTAATGGCCTACGATCATGTTGTATATGCACAACGATAATGGTAATTTACAGGTGACTTTTATTATATACATAGAGATCCATTGCAATACTATGGAAATTGTAGGTTTACGATCAAATTAAATAAATTGGATCAGAAGTATGCAAGGGTTGTTTCAGTTCGATGGTTACAAACGTAAACGGATTTTCATGTCTGCATGGTAATTTGTTATACATTGAGGGTTACCGGGATCTTAACCCCCCCCCCCCCCCCCCCCCCCCCCGCCGTGACCAACGTCACCGTTTTTCTCATCTCGTTCTTCCTCTCACTATCAAAATTAATTGTTCTTGTTCCTTGTCCTCTCCCACTTCTCTTTCGTACTACAGAAATCACAAATCCTTTGGTTTGAAATAGTGAGTTAAGACGAGCAAAGTTGCCATTGAAGATCTGTTGTCTAAAGCTCCGATTATGTGTTTTTTTATTGGAAACCAGGAGCTCTCATAACGATTGTGTAAATTTGTACTGAAATTCCATGGCTAAAGGCGATGGTGGATCGCTAACACAAGGAGGAGTACATTAGTGAAACAACGAAGTATTTTGCCGGTGTTTCGCTTAGGTGGGCAAAAAATGGTAAGGCGAATGGGGCATAATAGAAAAGGCGGGCGAGAAACCTGTAGGTGAGTCCAACTGCTTTAATTTAAATTTAAATATTAAAAAGTATTGAGTCTAATACTAGAGTTTACTACATTTTGGTAAATAATTTAGAAAGTACATTATTTTTGTAAATATTTTTTTTCGAATCACCAGCATTTGGTAAAAAACTCCAAAAAAAAATATGGTAAATTATTTTCGTTTTGTCCTAAGAAGTATTTTTAAGAACATATAGTTTTGGAATTTTTGATCTATAAATTGGTTTATAAGCCTAGTTAAAGATTGTTTTTTTTCCAAGTCCTGTATTTGCAAAACAGTTGAATACGATACGATCTCTATCCGGATAAAATAATGTATACAGGAAGTAAGTATGCATTTTTTTTCTTCAAGGCTGAATAAACAATGAGACTAAAGCTCCATGTAAGCATGCTAATTTATTTTTGAATTTATGTCAATTTAGTGTTTGGTGACCACAAAAGTAACATATAACTTATAAACTAGTTTTTTTGATATGTTATTTAATAACTTATTGATAAGCTAACTTATAAATTAAAACTAGTTTTTCAGCTAACACGTTAAATACAACCTAAATGACTAATTTCTATGCATCCCAAAAAAAAAACAAATTTCACAATAATTATCAGTTTAACAATAATAATTTATCATTTTACCTTCCATCTCAAAAAATAAGTTTCATAATATTCATTAATTTTAACAAATATATGAATTTTAACATAAATGAGTTGTAAGGAAAAAGGAAGAGCATATAGATAAAACTTAGGGTGTGTTTGGTTCACAAATTTTAAAGAAAATTTGGAGGAATCTTAATGTTAATTTCACTAAAAATTGCATTTGGTTGACAAAATCAAAGTAATTGTGGAACATCCTAAAAATACAACCAAAAAATTTCGTTTTTAAAACATTATTAAAACCATCATTTCATTACCAAAGTATAAAATCATAAACTATGTGTTTCAAAATCCCATAATATCTATCACATATCAAATCTCATATCAAATGTCATATCAAAATATCAGAGTAAAACTCCCAGGCTGAAGACTGTGGTGTGTGCCATGCGATCATCCCGAGCCCTTCCCTTTGCTAGTGGAAGTACCTGAAACCAAAACTTTAAACTGTAAGCACAAAGCTTAGTGAACTCCCCCAAACTACCACTACCATACAGTAACACATATAACACAAACTGGGCCTTGCCAACTGCATCGGGCCCCGCCCGACATCGGATCGAAGTCCGGAATAACTTGGCCCCCGCCCACTGCATCGGGCCCCGCCCTGCATCGGACCGAAGTCCGGAATAACTTGGGCCCCGCCCACTGCATCGGGACCCGCCCGGTATCGGACCGAAGTCCGGAATAACTTGGGCCCCGCCCGACATCGGACCGAAGTCCGAAATAAATTGAACATAACATAAGCGTGAACATATAACATAATCACATATACTGCATCGGTCTTGCCCGGCATCGGACTGGAGTCCGGAACATATACACATAATATAAACATGCATGAATCACGAAGACATCAAGCATACATAACTACTTCTCGGGACCCCGCCCGGCATCGAACCGAAGCCCGGAACTATTATCATCTAAACGGGTCGGCATTGTGGCCGTAGACCCATTCCTACTGGAAGGAAACTCACCTCGCGTGACTGATTGCTGCAACTCTGGGTGAGGAATATCCAGTAACTGCCTCGGCGTCCCTCCGGCTATCAAAACACAATAATACATGGTCAATATCTGAAACTCCTTCCTAGGGTAAAATGACCATTTTACCCTAAATCAAAGTCAACTCTCTGGTCAAAGTCAAAGTCAAGGTCAACCCCAGTCAACTCAACTCGTCGAGTCATCTTCCTACTCGACGAGTCTCTGAAATGTTCTAACTCGTGGTCCACTGAGTCAACTCGTCGAGTCCTTCTTCTGACTCGTCGAGTTCTTTCTGTAATAATAATCGGGACATCTCGACTCTACTCGCCGAGTCCCTCCTTGGACTCGTCGAGCCCTTTAGCTCCCGAGTCCTAATCTTGTCCAACTCACTGAGTCACCCCCCACTCCATGGTTTCAATCACAACCAGAAAAGGTTTGGGAAACTCGACCCGGCTCGCCGAGTCATAAGAACAACTCGGCGAGTTCCTTGCATGCTAAAACTATACAGTCGATTCTAAATGATTCCAATGCTTCTAACTCATAGATCTGGCTCCCCTAGGCTAACTTAACACGTAAAGTTGCTAAATTTACGTGTATGTATGAAGATATAATACCAAAACACTCATTTCAAGCTAGAAATGGAGATCTAAGTCATTACATAGACTATGGTTGCATAAAGGTGGCAACTTTGAGCCTCTAGAGCTCAATAGAGCCCAGATCTGAAGTCTCTACATCCCCAAGAGTTCAAATCTCGGAATAGCCTTGGGAATGGCCC